TATTACCAGCAATCAGATATACTGGCATCTTGTATCCCTTGAAATGATACACTGAAAACATCACTTCTGTGATATTCTTGCCCCAAATGCATAACTTTTTTTTTAAGATTTTATTTTTTTTTAAAGTAATCTCTACACCCAAAGTGGGGCTTGAACTCACAACCCCGAGATCAAGAATCGCATGCTCTACCGACTGAGCCAGTTAAGAGCTCCTGTATAACTTCTATTTAATCAAGAGAAAATACCGAACTCATATTGATGGATAATCAACAAAATAACTGTCCAGTACTCTGAAAGTGTCAAAGTCATGAAAGACAAAGAAAGACTAAATTTCACAGACTGGAGAAGAAGAGTAAGGAGAGATCACAAATTAATGTAACATGGGGTATTGGGTTAGATCCTGGAACAGAAAAAGAATATTTGTGGAAAAATTGGTGAAATTTAAATAGGGTTTGTAGTTTATAGTATTGTACCAATGCTAATTTTTGTTTCTCCTAATTGTTTATGATTATATAAGTTGTTAAAATTAGGAGAAGTTGGGCTAAGGGATACATAAACTCTGTATTATTTTTTGCAACTTTAGGTCTAAAATTATTTAAAAATACATGGTTGAAAAAAAAATGAATGGTTGAAACAAAGTTAAAAGGACCAGGATGTTGGAAGGAGGGCAATGGATATTTACCAGAATATTTATATATGGATTGCCTCTCATTAATTCTGCTTAAAGAATGGCAAATCCATTTTGACTTGTAAATTCAAAACAAACCAAGGGTGTTTTTGTTTTACTATTAAAATTTCTGCTCATTCTTTTCATTCAGTTTTTTTTTCTGTATTCTTTTTGAGAATTATTCTTTTTTTGGTTGGACTTGTCTCTGTTCTCTCTAGTGTAGCATTTCACCTTTCATCATTTTATCTTTCATGCTATCTTCTGTATTCTGAGAGAATTTTAAAAAATTCTATGTCAAGGATTTGTTTTTATATAGTAACTACTGGTCCTTTACGGCAAAGACAAATTTAATTTTTTCCATCATATCAATAGTTTCATACAGTGTTTTCTTACACTGGCCAAGAACCATTTCATCTTTCCTGTTTTTCAGTCTGTAATCACTGGAAACATAGGATGCATTTTTACAAGTTTTATTTAATTTCCTTATATGTTCTTAATACATATATCCATATATATGCTATTTATTCTTGCCTTCACTGTAGTGCCATTGCAAAAATATTTTCATGGGACCTATACAGTATACACTTTTCTGTTTAGCTTATCCTTGAATGGAGATCTGTCCATGACAATTCTAAAAGATTCATGAGTTCTTGATTCCTCTTACTGTCCCCATCCACTCTCTCATGCTTATAGTAAGAAAGAGGCTTGATACACACAGAACCTACACAATTTCTACTGCCTAGCTCAGTGAGCTTTTTTGGTCCTGCTGCCAAGTTCTCTATTGAGTAAAATAATTTATTCTGCAGAATCTGAGACTATCTATAGTTTGACTATGTACAGTGCATGAAAATGTTTATCGTCCTGTAAGCCCAGAGCTGCAAAGCACACACTTTTCCTGTCTCTGCCCTCTAGAATGCAGTGCTTTACATTTGTTGTCCTGTACTCTGAGGACTTGCTGAATGTTTGGGTAATTTTAGTCTCTAAATTGCTTTATAAGAAGTGTTAATGATACTGAAATGAGGAAATGGTTAGGAAGAAGTTAGTAGTGGAATGTTTCTGTAAAGTGTCAATTTTTAGTTTAAGTGTACATTATGGGTCTCTGAGCTAGAAACAGATAGTGGTAAGAGGTCACATCCTTTTCTAATTTACCTTTGAATCACAGTGTCTTTCTAAAGGGTAAGATGTAATAGGTAAATAGCTGTGCTTTTCATTCAAGTCCAATTGGTGCTTTAATTAGAAGAAATTCCTTATAGCCTGGCAAGTAATTAAATATTGTCCTTAATATCAAATATTTTCATGAATAGCTATTATATATTGGAGTTAAATAAAATGAACATTTAACTTTTTAAATTATTTTTTATTTTAATTTCAAGTTTTTATGTAAATACATGAAAAGTGAACTTAGAGCTGTTTACAATTGTCTCCATTAACAGAAAATGAATTTTACTGGATCTTTCTTTTTTTCTTTTTAAAAATTTATTTAAGTTCAATTAATTAACCTATAATGTATTATTGGTTTCAGAGGTAGAGGTCAGTGATTAGTCTTATATAATACCCAGTGCTCATGGCATCACATGCCCTCCTTAATGTCCATCACCCAGTAGCCCCATCCCCCAACCGCCCTCCCCTCCAGCAACCCTCAGTTTGTTTCCTGTGATTAGGAGTCTTTTATGGTTTGTCTCCCTGATTTCATCTTGTTTTATTTTTTTCTCCCTTCCTCATGATCCTCTGTTTTGTTTCTTAAATTCCACATATGAGTGAGATCATGGATAATTGTCTTTCTCTGATTGACTTATTTCGCTTAGCATAATACCCTCTAATTCGATCCACATCGTTGCAAATGGCAAGAGTTCATAAAATGAACATTTAACTTAAAGGTTAACTTCAAATTATAATCTTCTCAGTTTCCAGTATCTCAGTTAATTCTCATAGGAACGAATTTATTAGATACTTATATTAATGCAAAAATGGAAAAACACTGTAAAACAGAAACACTTTATAATTTTCCACTTAAACCCTTCTTACCTAGGGATTTGATACTGATCTTAAAAGCATAATAGTTCAAGTGCCCAGATACTTTGGAGTAAGCTAGTTAAGTATAGTTCATAACTCTTCAACTCTTCCCTATTCTTTAAATTTTAACTTGGGTAGGACTAAAATATTCCCTAGGATGTAGCCCATGTGATTACCAAAATTATTTAACCCTAAATGAGACAGATTAAATTCCAAATTGAAACAAGTCAGTAGTTTTGTTCCCTTTTGGTCTGCAGCATGATAGAGCAAAGATCTGTATCAGGACAGAAGGGGTGAAGTCCCTTTTAGCAGCATTTCTCTAGAATGAAGAGGCAGGTTACTAGTTCCAGTTGTAAGCTTATATGCACAAAGAAAGATATCTATGCCTCTGTTATGATTTATATTCAACATATGTGTACTTTCTGTATGACTAAAGAGTAAGATAGCAGTTTCTCTGTATAATTTGTCATTTCCTACTCATAGATTTAAGAAAATATAGGAAAGTGTTTACTCTTAAACTAGAGGAATTAAACTTTAAATTAAAAATGTGTAGCATTAACGTTCTTTTAAAAAATTTTATTTTTTATTTTTTAAATTTTATTTTGTTATGTTAGTCAACATACAATACACCATTAGTTTTTTTTTTTTTTTTTTTAAAGATTTTATTTATTTGACAGAGAGATACACAGTGAGAGAGGGAACACAAGCAGGGGGAGTGGGAGAGGGAGAAGCAGGCTCCCCGCAGAGCGGGGAGCCCGATGTGGGGCTCGATCCCAGGACCCCGGGACTCTGGGACCATGACCTGAGCCGAAGGCAGACGCTTAACGACTGAGCCACCCAGGTGCCCCAATACACCATTAGTTTTTGATGTAGTGACCCACGATTCATTGTTTTCATATAACACCCAGTGCTCCATGCAGTAAGTGCCCTCCTTAATAATCATCACTGGGCTAACCCCCACCCCTCCCCTCTAAAACCCTCAGATTGTTTCTCAGAGTCCATAGTCTCTCATGGTTCATCTCTCCCTCCGATTTCCCCCCATTCATTTTTCCCTTCCTTCTCCTAATGTCCTTTGAAAATTTCTCCTACCCAAGTACCACTCCATCCTCTCTTGGAATTATTCAAGCAGTAAAACTTCAATCATTTGTGTTTATATATATGATCTATATAATCAGTAACTGAAAAAACTAGTACTTATTAAATATGGTGAAGCTCTTTTCACTATTCCTAGAGAAGTATATTTGGAGAAAATGTTAACATCAGAGGAAGTCTGTTTTAGAAGATTTTGATAGATAAATTTTAGGAACACTCGAGGCTGTGACACTAGGTCAAATTATGGTTTTATTTCATGTGTGCAGTACAGTGGTAATAGCAGTGAAGGAATGCGGTAAGTGGTGACGGGATGAGGGGATATGAGAGGGGAGAGGCTCCTTAAAGTAGACTGTCTTCGTACTGAGTTCCAACACATAAATAAATACGCGTGTGAAATAGCTAATCTCCATCATTTTATTGTAGAGTATGCCTACTTTCCTTACCAAAGTACACTGTAAACAGGATTCATATTACCATCACAATAGTTAATCTGTGGTTCTTACAGATATAGTCCATTTCCTCCAAGTAATGATGAAGAGTTTCACTAAGAAACTAGGTCATAAGGGAATAAGCAGAATTCCCTGCTACATAGTAGAGAGTTGAAATATATTGAATATATACATGGATCTAACTGGATACTCACTCTTTGGCCTGCATCTGATTTAGGATGCACAAGCACAATTCCCAAACTGGAAGAGTAGATTGTTAACTGATTTCATCTCCCCATAAATGCTATATGCCATTAACACAACCAAAATCTGAGTATATGAAATATCTAGGCAAATTCAATGAGACAGAAGGTTGATTAGAGGGTACCAGGGACTGGTACAGAGAAAAGAATGGGAAGTTATTGCTTAATGGGTACAGATTTTCTATTTGGGTAATGAAAAAGTGTGAAAACAGATAGTGGTAATGGTTGCATAGCACTATGGATGTAATTAATACCACTTAGCTATACACTTAAAAGTGGCAAATTGTAAGTTATATATATTTTATTACAGTAAATAAAGCATTTTTGACCATGTGTGGTTTATAACTTACTCAAAACTACTGTAAAAATTATAGTTAATTTAGTTGTACGTTCTTCACATGAAAGAGTTCACTAATTCTGTTCTTCTGATCACAAATGTAATATAAGTATCCAAAATTATTTCTTTTCAGAAAAGAAATTTGAAAAACTTGAAACATGACTGAAAAAAATAATAAAAAATCAAAACACACTTCTTACTTTAATTGGTTCAGGCTGCATCACAGGTGCAGTCATAGAGATGGCACTTGGAGCATAAACCTGGTGATATGTTGCTTGAACTCCATGATCAGAATAAGGCTGTTATAAAAAAAAGAAAAAAAAGGTATTATCTTTCATTGCAATGTACTAGGCATTTTGCTACACAATGGAGGAACACAAATGGAAAACACATTCCCTATCTTTAATTAATTCATAGACTGATTAGGGACAGTTGAATAGTCAAAATTACCATAAGTCCTATGAAACATATATAGAAGAAAAGAAAACTACTTGATTTAGCTTAAGAAAATTGGGGAGGTGGTCAGAAAAAGTTTTCTAGTGGAGTTGATGCTTGAAGAATTAAGAGAAAGAAGGTGGGAATAGTACGTGCAAAGACAACTAAGAACACACCTCATGGGGCGCCTGGGAGGCTCAGTGGTTTAAGTGCCCAACTCTTGATTTTGGCTCAGGTCATGATCTCAAGATCGTGAGATTGAGCCCCGTGTCAGGCTCTGAGCTCAGCATGGAATTTTCTGGTCCCTCTCCCTCTGCTCCTTCCCCTGCTCTCTCTCTCTCAAATAAATAAGTAAAATCTTAACAACAACAACAGCAACAATACACCTCACATCATAAGGCATGCAGGAAGAAAAAGCAAATTATGTTCGGGGGGAAAATCAGGCCAGCTTCAAAATTCTTTATGGCTACACTCAACACCAGAAAAGAGTAGACTAGAAGTTCTATAAGAAAATAGTACTGTTAAGAGTTGAATTTGGGGGACGCCTGGGTGGCTCAGTCGGTAAGTATCTGCCTTCAGCTCAGGTCATGATCCCAGGTTCCTTGCTCAGCGAGGAGCCTGCTTCTCCCTCTGCTTGTGCTCTGTCTCTCTCTGTCTCAAATAAAGATAAAATCTTAAAAAAAAAAAAAAAAAAGAGTTGAATTTGGTTCCCTCAAAACATACGTTGAAGTTCTAACCTCTAGTACATCAGAGTGTGACCTGATTTGTAGACAGGGTATTTACAGAGGTAATCAAGTTAAATATGGTCATTAGCATAGAACCTAATCCAGTATGACTGCTATCCTTACAAAATTGAGAAATTTGGACACAGAGATAGAAAAATAATGTGAAGACACAAGGAGAAGGTGGCCATCTACAAGCTAAGAAGAGAGGCCTGAAAAGATGCTTCCCTCATGGCCCTCAGATGGAACCAATCCTGCCAACACCTTCATCTTCAACTTCTGGGCCTAGAACTGTGAGACAATAAATGTCTGTTGTTTAAGCCACCCAGTTTGTGGTACTTTGTTCTGGCAGTATGATGCAGCTATTTTATAGCTAGTGTAACCATCTTTCAGATTTATAGACAACAATGTTGAACAAATAGGCATGTAAGAAACTCAGAGAATACAGCACCCACAAGCTTTCTTTAACAAAGAGTACTTTGCAGATTCAGTCAAGCAAGTAATGAATGCAGGCTGTGATGAAAACAGAGAAATCCTGGTAGAAGTAGTGATAGTAACATTAAAATCCAACTGTGGAAATTATTGTTCCAGAACATCATAATGTTATAAACCTTAGCAATATAAAAAATAATATAATACACCCTAATTGGGAGGTGGGTGCTAGTTTTCTAATCTTTATAACACTGATTTAAAACATACCTGTACAGTTCTTGGCACATAGATGGTAAGGTAAGTAATGGTTTGGGAATGTAATTTAAAGACACTGAAGATAGCATTTGCAATTTGTAGTTATGAAGTATATTTTTTAAGATTTATTTATTTATTTGAGGGAGGGAGGGGCAGAGGGAAAGTGAAAAACCCCAGCAGACTTCTCACTGTGCGCAGAGCCCGACGACGTGGGGCTTGATCCCATGACCCTGAGATCATGACCTAGCTGAAATCAAGAGTTGGATGCTTAATTGACTGAGCCACCCAGGTGCCCCATGAAATATTTTTGATTTACATATTTGAAGGAAGAAGTTTTTAAGATCTTTTGAATTTTTATATGCTTTTAATTCACAGAATGTTAGTAACAATACAGATTGACAGGCAAGCCAGAAGAAAGAGAAGTATTTGGTATCTTACTCTTTCGAGGAGATCAAGTCAGAGATTAGCCTAGTAGAGTGAACAGTTGGTTTTAGAAATGGTTCAGAACTAGTTAGTAAAAAAGTCTAAGATGAAGCATTCTTAGATACATATAAAAGGGGAAAGGTGTGAATAAATCAAAGAAAAAGCATGTGCAGCTTCCATGAGGGTCTTAAATATTTTTAGAAAAGAAAAAGAAATAAATGTTAAGATGAGACAGTTATAGATAAATCCTTGAGACTAATACATACCTCTGGAACTGAAGCTTCCATCAGGGATAGAGGAGGAGGAACACATCCACCATCTTGTGCAATTTCCACTGGTTGATAAATAACCTCAGAAGGTTGCAGGTATAAGAATGGAGCAGAAGAGGCAGGAGACTAAAACAAAACCATATTTCTAATTCAGATATGATTAGTTATTTCAATTAAACCAAATGACTTAGCCAACAGATGACAGAAATATTTGTTTCATATTTTGCTGAAATTCTTTTCCAGGGATAGCATGGATGTATCTTATTACAAATTTCAATTGTGTAGATGTGACTAAAGAACTTTATCACTGGTAAACATTAAAAGTTCTTAATGCTTCAGAAACTCTTTTATAAATTCAGAAAATAGTTATATTAAGATCACTACAAGAGGTTGTAATAATATAACTTACAGTATTTGAGTTGGCATAAACATCTATTCTCAGCTTTGTGACTTCACATGGAAATGGGAAATGTCATTAAATAGTCTTTTTGGTGGTATACTATTTGTATCAAAAGTTGAGAGACGGTTTATTTACTTAGGAGCACAAGTCAAACTGAAGCAAAATCTGAAGTACAACTGGAAAAATGATACATTTTCCCATAATAGTAAAAAGTAATTTTTTATGTTTATATGAGTACTCATTTTTAATAAAATGTTTTCACTTACATGATCTCATCTTCACCAAGATCAGGTAAAGAAATTTACAAAGGTGTGGTATCATTACTTCCATTTTACAATGAGGAAGCTAAGAAATATAGTGATTAACTGCAAAAGGTATCACAGTTACTAAATAGAAGAGGAATATCTCAAATCTAGTTCTCCTGACTTTAATATTCATTCAGTCTTCACAAAAACACAATGAAAAAAGTTAATATTTACCTGAGGAACACCCCACTGCCACTGTCCTGGTAGACACTGTGCAGGGGCCTAAAATGAAAACCAAAAACAAAAAACCCACCCAGATTATAAACAAGGGTCAAAACTGAATATCTATATGCAAAAGAATGAAGCTGGATCCCTAAACCTCTAACTATATACAAAAATTAACTCAAACTGGGTCAAAGACCTAAATGTAAGAGCTAAAACTATAAAATTCTTAGAAGAAAATATGTGTAAATCTTTGTGGGTTTGAATTAGGCAATTAAACTATGACATGAAAAGCACAAGCAACAAAAGAAAAGAGATAAATTGGACTTCATCAAAATGAAAAACTTTTGTGCTACAAAGAATACCATCAAGTAAGTGAAAATACAAAGGATAGGAGAAAACATTTATAAATTATATATCTGATAAGGAACTTACATCTAGAATATATAAAGTGGTGTTATAACTCAATAATGAAAAGTAACCCAAATTTAAAAATGGGTAAAGAATATGAATAGATATTTCTCCAAAGAAGATATGTAAAAGTGGCCAATAAGCATATGTAAAGATATTCAACATTATTGGCCTCAGCTTATGGAAATCAGTGTGATATCACTTTATATCCACTGTCACCACTAGACAGGCTATAATTAAAAAGGTAGATGATAAGTGTTGACAAGGATGTGGAGAAATTAGAATCCTCATCAACTGCTGGTGTGAGTGTATAATGGTGCAGCCCTTTTGGAAACCAAGATGACACTTCCTCAGAACTTTAAACATAGAGATACCATATGACTCAGTGATCCTACTCCCAGGTAATAAGGCTAAGATAAAGGAAAACATATATGATGTAATGTATGGTGATTAACATAACATAATAATAAAAAAAAAAGAAGTCATATCTGGAGATAAATCATTAAAAAAAAAAACTTGTACAGGAGTGATCACAGTAGTATTTATAACAGACAAAAAGTGGGACTATCCCAAATGTCTGTCATTTGATGAAAAGATAAAATGTGTTCTATCCATATAATGGAATATTATTCAGCTATAAAAAGAAATGAAGTACTGATACATGCCACCACATGGATAAACTGTGAAAACATTACGCTAAGTGAAAGAATCCAGTCATAACCACATATGGTAGATTCCATTTATAATGTTCAGAATAGGCAAACCTATAAAGACAGAAAATAGATTTCTGGTTGCCTAGGGCTGGGAGTAGGAGGAAAGAGGAGTGACTACTAATGGGTAAGGTTTTTTTGGGAGGAGGGTTGATTAAAATGTTCTAAAATTGACTGTGGTATGGCTATACAACTCTGAATTTAGTAAAAAACACAATTGCACATTTTAAAAAGCTGAATTGAATGCTATGTGAATTATATATCAAAAACCTGTTAAATAAAAGAGGGTCAAATTTTTTAAACTTAAATGACAATATGTCAGACATTTATTTCTTAAACTAATTGTATTATTTCTTAATAATATGTGTTTTATTCTTTATTTTCCATTTTTAATAGTCTTTTTTCATTATAAAGTTAAAAAAAACAGAAAAAAGAGTAAAAAGATGCCATGGATCTGTCATCTAAACTGAATCACTGTTAATTTAGTGCTATTTAAGTTGCTAATGGATGACATCACTGTATTATAATGACCAAGATAATGTGAAGTCTATGTTCTGTAGTCTACATTCAGACAGGCAGGATAATAAATAATCTCCTAAAATATTTTAATAAAAAATCTGAAATAAAATGATTTATATATAGTTTTTAGATAAATGAAATAACTACTTATGAAATGAGAAATATGGAGATAAATACTAATTAAACCATGCATTACCTGATTTGACTAATAAATGATAAAGCTACCAATCTTAGAATTTGTAAAAAGAAAGAACAAGAGAAGATTCTTAATCAAAGAGGCAGAATGATGAATATATACCTGAAAAGAAATATGTGAGGTGAAATGATTTTTTTATATTACAAAATATTATATTATAAATTGGTACCAAAGTCTTTCCTGAGTAATATCTAGGTGACATACTTCCAATTTTATAATTTGTGTCAAACAGAACACCAGAGTCAAACTATAAAATTAAACTGTATTAGAAATTTTAAGAATGTATTTGGTATGTCAAGTGAGCTATTGCTGTATGTAATCAATTAATGAAGGAGGAGCTGGACTCAATGGGGTGCAAGCAGAAAGCACTTCTATTCTTTCTCACCCCCTGACACTTTAAAAGCACTGTGTTGAGCTGTTCTTCCTTGCCACAGGATAAATATTAGGACGGATCACTTTTTGGGGTGTGGCAGATTCCAAATGCTGACTCTCTAGTTAAGTAGTTTACTGGATTCTTTGGTGATCTTCCTGCTGAGAACTTTTTTTTTTTTTTTAAGATTTTTACTTATTAATTTGAGAGAGAGAGAGTGAGCAAGCGAGAGCATGAGCAGGGGGAGAAACAGAGGGAGAGGGAGAAGCAGACTCCCCACTGAGCAGGGAGCCTGACATGGGGCTCAATCCCAGGACCCCGGGATCATGACCTGAGCTGAAGGCAGACGCCCAATCTACTGAGCCACCCAGGCGCCTCTCCCCCCTGGGAACTTCTAACTGCAGTTCTAGCCCTTGATTCTAGAAGTCTACTTCACACAGGTTCTTTCTTTATTGGGATCACCTTAAAGTTTTTGAAAAGGGTCTCTTCTGTGAGGTTCACATCTTGCTCTGGGGACGCATAAACCTTTGCTTGTTTTGAGTAGAAGTTCAACACATTCTCACTGTAGTCTTCTAGCCTCCAGAGACTAGTCCAGCTTCTTCTTTGGACTTTTTAATTAATTAATTTATTCCCCCCCCACTACCACCCTTCACCTCTCTCTCTGGACTTTTTTAGGAGAGGTCAGGTCCAAGTACCATCTCACAAATTTCAGGGGACAAACATTAAGTTTTCTGTCATTCTCTGATGTCTTCTTTACTTGGTTGGGAAGAAGGGGACATGCCATAGCATTCTAACAACTCTCTTGCAATCTCATCCTCCCCTCATGTGTACTCAAGGTGGGCAATAAGCTAAGGGTCCCCCAACTGGTTTCACAATATTTGGCTTATCATATTAAAAGATCTGGTACCTAATGTTCTGTCTTTGGGGCTTCTGCCGGAATTTGGAGACAGCTTAGGGAAAGTGACATATTTTAAATATATGTCATTAAGTTATATTTTAAATATGTCATTAAGTTATTTTAATATATATATTTTAAATATATATATATTTTAAATATGTCATTAAGTTATTTTCATCTTTAGTAAGTGAAAGAAACACTTTAGATAGTTTTATATTTAGCATGGTAATAGGATTTACAAATTTATTTGTAAATAAATAAATAATATAATATAATAATATATAATATACATTAACATATAATATAATGAATTTAAATAAATTTAAATCTTAAATTCTACTTACAATTTAAACACCACCATCCCCCCAAAACCCAGTCTAATATTAAAAAGAATTCCAGTAAACTTAACATTTAATCTGGGTCTATTTTAAAAGTTTAAAAGAAAAAAGAAACAGAAATAAATTCTCTTCCACAATTCCAAAGGTAGGAAAGAATGTGATTTTATTTGTGAGTGCAAGAGATGAGAGGTTGGCAAACTTTTTCTACAAAGGACCAGAGGGTAAATATTTTCAGCTTTGCAGACCATAATATCCTGTTGCAAGTACTGAACTCTGCCATTGTAGTACAAAAGCAGCCATAGACAGTATATCAACAAATATTCTTTATTTATAAAACACCAAAATGGTCTGGCATTATGGCTCATTTATCCCCAGTCTCCCACAAGAATTAATGAAGAGAACTGGTTAACTAAAAGAGGCTGCCATAATATAAACCATAATATATTACTTATTTTAATATAGATTATGTTAAATATAATAGCAAGAAAGTGACATAATGTTAACAATAACATTAAAAAATCAGCCTGTGATCCAGTATGTTATCTGTATGTTTCTTTGGGAATTATTTCTAAAAACTTCTTAGATTAAATGTTAGCCAGGGGAGCAAAACCAACCTCATTACATTTGGTTAAATGAAGCAAACATCCCATCTTCTTGTATGATATTGTTTAGTTCCCCATAAGAAAAGAAAAGAAAAAAAAAACAAACAAACCCAGCACTGCTATCAAGGCTTAACTATCTCTTTTTAATTATTAGTGTATTTGCATGAGAAAGAATACAGTGAAATTTACCCAAAAAGGACTGACAGTTTTTAAAGAGAATTTTCATTGTAATTTCATGTTTACCTGGTAGTGATATGCAGGTTGCTGATAAACTGGCTGAGCTACCATCACAGGGGAACTAGATATAGAACGTGACTATAAGAGGGAAAAAAATTGAAAAATTATTTTAGGCCTAGGCAAAATTCTTTAAAATAGTTTGTTATAAAATTTATCCTGAATTGTTACCTAAACCCAGTCAACTTATGGTCTATAATTGGAAATGTCATTTTTCTACCTCTTATTGATATTATTACTAATTCCACTTAAGTCTACTAAAATCACCACAGTATTCCCACTTTTCTTTGGTTTCATTTTCATGGTAATGCTAAAACAACCACCAGAAAAGTTGCTTTTAGTCCAAAGAATATGAAAATATAGTTCTAAGAGAATTTTTAAAAGAAAATGGCAGCTGGACTTAAGGTGACACTGCCTATTTCCATCATCAGACCAGCAGTAGATAATATTTACACAACATAGAACTGAATGAATAATCATATCTGATTTGCCACTGATTTCCCACTGCTTACAAATAATTAAATTCTACTCCTTTGTTATACATTTAAGTCAAATATATTACTTATTGAAGCATTTATCAAATCCTATTTTATTAATTTGATATTTAAATGAAAATAAATTTTAAGTGACTTCTCTGTTTGAAGAAAGTATGCATAACACTTCGTTATTCAAAGTACTAGAGTAAACCTCAAAATACATTATTTAAAACCAGACCATTAATAAAGCAGGCAAATTGTATTATAAGATAGGTAAAATAAGCTTTAATGATAGCAATTAAAATTCAATTTGTAACATGGGATGTACTTTACACTGTTTTGTTTTAATGTCACTCCCTCCCCTCTGCAAAATGAAGAAAAGTATCATAGTTTTGCACAATTTTCAGACTATAATATGTTAATAAAATTATACCACAGATTAACATTAGAAAAGAATAATATAATTTACTATATTATTTTTTATTAATAGATTAAAGGAGGAAAAAAAATCTCAGCAGATAGAGAAAAAGATTTATTAAAATTCAATACCCTTTCATGATAAATTCAATACTCTTTCATTCTTAGCAAACAGAATATGAAATAATTTCCTTAATTGATTTGGGGCAATAATTATCAATCAGGTGTGACTTTGCCCCTCTAGGGAACATTTGGCAATACTTTTGGTTTTTATAGATGTGGGGAGACTAGGACACTGCTAAACATCCTACCATATACAGGACTAGCCTCCAACAACACAGAATCATCTGGCCCAAAATGTCAATAGTGCTGAGGCTGAGAAACCTTGGTTATGGCTAAGATTATCTTCCAAAACCTACAGTGTATAAATAAATATATACACGGTATATATAAAGTTTATATAAGTATATATAAAGCTTAATCATGAATCACTGAATTTGTTTCCTTTTTCAAGAACAAGGTCATGTTATCATATAAATACTACAGCAGAGACCATGCTGGTGCAGTAATTCAATGGAGAAAAAATGAGAAAAGAGCAGAAAGAAACAGAAGTATACTGAATCATAAATGACTGTCTATATGAAAGTTTTGGAGGGTTACTGATCAAATGTCAACATTTAAAAAAGCACTATTACATACAAGTCACAACCTATTGGGAAGTATGATTTAAAAATATACCATAATAAAAGCAACAAAAACCACAGAGTACCTAAGAATAAATCCAACAAAAGATGTGCTAAACTATTTTATGGAGAAAGAAAATTTTATTGACAGATGGAAATAACAGACCTATTTAAATAAATGTTTGTGGATGGTAAAATTCAGTATTATGCCCAAATTAATCTACACATTTAATGCAATTCTAATAAAAATCCAACAAAGGCTTTTCACAGAATTGAACAAGCTGGATTATAAAATTTATATTTATAAAAGTAAAGACTTAAGGATAGATGAGAGACTCCTGAAGAAAAACGTGACAGGACTGCCCTATCAGATTTCAGCACTTGTTCTAAAGCAGGAGGAATTAAAACAGAATTGGGCAGGGCAAACACACCAATGCAACAGAATAGAGAGCCCAGAAGAAACTCCCCCCAAATGTGGCATTTCATAGAGGATTCATTTCTTTTTTTTTTTTTTTAAAGATTTTATGTATTTATTTGACAGAGGGAGACACAGCGAGAGAGGGAACACAAGCAGGGGGAGGGGGAGAGGGAGAAGCAGGCTCCCCGCAGAGCAGGGAGCCCGATGTGGGACTCGATCCCGGGAC